GTTAGCCCGCGACTTTGTTCCAGTTTTGAATTTTGGCCCACTGTGTATTTGAGTTTGACACCCCTGACTTAAGGCATTCTTAATATTGTTTATTTAGTGTTTATTTTGTTTAATATTAGTGTAATTAAAGCTGTACAACACCTTGACTCATTTGTTACACTCCATTTTTCATATCGTAACATCAGTCTTGTTAGCAGATCAAATGAAAATCAGAACTCCAAATGCACAATTACGATGAAAACAAGGATTTTTATCATTTGAAACATTTTCCCACAGTTAAAGACTTTTGACCCTGTTACTGTAATCCAGTGTTACCTACAAGAAATAATATGTTGTCTGCCATTTATCTAATTAATAATAAAAAGGTAAATTTTTTGTGTGTCCACACCGCCATTGTTATTAAGAATATAAAACAAATACTCAAAAAATATTCAATAAATAATTAAACCTCTTGTGAATTTGTTGGATAATGTCTGTTTTTCGAGCATATTCAGCTGAGTCCGAACAAAGACAGAATTGTTTGTTATTTTATCTGTGTGTACCCTACAGTGGATTTTCATTCAAGACTGAGTGCATTTTCAGCTTTAAATATAACCCTATAATGACCTTTGTCTCATATTTGACGCATGAGTTTCTGAGACCTTGTTCTCATCAACATCATCAGCACTTGCCATAATTTCAAAATGTTATGGACAAAACTTCTTTTTTTGTCTAAAATTAACACTGTTGTTAACATAAAGTTGCCAAACACACCCAATGTATGAAATGCCATACAAAAAATATATAATTCATATATCATAAAAATATATCATACACAACATGATATAGCAAAAAATTGTTTGTGGATTTTGTTATAAGTTTGTTATAAGTTCCAAAAAATCAGAATTTTCTGGCAATTTTTTGATTGGTTGGGTCTTACAGGGTTAAGGGGATTTAAAAAAAACTTTCATGAACTGTTTAGGAATTATAGACATTTTTTATACTACAACCAAGCCCAGACGAAAATCCGTTGAAGTCAGTGACTGAGGTCTTAAGCCCATGGACATCACCAAATGCTGTGTTTCGTCCCTTGAGATGCTCCGCCGGGTTTTTACTGCAGACACCTTCAGCTGCTGCTTGTTTCTGGGTCTCTTTGCCTTTATTGTCTTATTTCATGACTGAAAGCGGCTCTACTAGGTTGTGATCAGGTGACTGACTTGGCCATTGAAGATTATGTCATTTCTTTGGCTTGAAAAACTCTTGGGTTGCTTTTGCAGTCTGCTTTGGGTCATTATCCATTTGCACTGTGAATTTACACTGTGCCTGATCAGTATTAGCAGAGAGTACAGCCCTGTATACTTTACAACTCATCCTGCTACTTCTATCAGGAGTCACATCATCAGTAAACACTTGTGACCCAGTTCCAGTCACAGCCATACAAACTTCTCGTCCCATCATTTCGGTACAAATTAACCTTAGTTTCATCTGTCCAAAACATGTTTCCATTACTGTATTTTCTTAATGTTTTCTGGCTAAGGCTAATTTGGCCTTCATCTTCTTGAATCTAACCAGTGGTTTGCATTTTGTTGTAAACCCATGAAGATGTCTCTTGATTGTAGACTTTGACAATGATATGTCTTCCTCTTCAAGAGTTTATTCTTAACTTGGTTAGATGTTGTAAACTTTTTTTCTTAACCATCAAAATAATTCTGTCATCATGCACAGTGGTCTTTCAGGCCTTTTGGTGTTGCTGAGCTGGTCATTGCATTCATACTGAGCATCCCTGTGAAAAACTAACAAATTGTATTTCAACACTTGGAATTAAGATCTTTAGATCTTTTATCTGCTTTATTGGTCATGAAATAGGGCACAGACCTTACTTGGCCATGAAAATTGTCAGTATATTGTCAATTGCTTCTGAAGCTCTGAAAATGGGAGACTGTGTATAAAAATGTTTATATTGTTTAAACAGTTACTGCCATCCTTTTGCAAAACCATTGAATTAAAGCAGGAAGGCTTCACTTCAATCGCGTCTTGATTTTTTAAAATTTAAAATAGACAAAACTACAAAAATATTAATGAATCAAACCGTACAAACCAAAATTCTTCAATGTAATTCTCAATTTCTGCTAGCAAAAATTTGTTTGCAGAGAGCTCATTTATCTCCTGATTTTTCTCCAGGCGTGAGCAAGCAGCAACACTGTATCAGAACATCAGTCTGACTGAGCCCAGACTGATTCCTCAGTTTGAGAAAGTCATCCTCAACTTCACCAAAGAGATCAAACAGCAGAACTCAGAGATGGAGAACTTGGCACTTGCCATCAAACGGTGAGTATCATGCACACGCACATATATGATCAGTTATTACCTGTGAATGATTAGCAGATGACCTGCTCTACATACTGAACTACAGCCACCCTAATGAGCATGTGGCAAAGATGTAGACAGGACGAGTATGAACCACAGGAGAGAGACTTGAGCAACCAGATCATAAGTAAAACATATAACTACCAGTGCATCAATGTAGACTGAACCTCTTAGTTTGACCTGTTGATGTCAGACATGACATCATCAGTACTTTAAAAATCAGGAAACTCTGGTTGGGCCTTTCCCTACACCTGACGTACACGAAGGCTGAGAACAGTCGATGTAAGTATGCACAAAGTAGTTAATTCTGCAGCCTAAAAAATATAAAGCAACCTGTGACTGAGTATTTGCTTTAATCTGCTGAATGTTTGATTTTGATGGCAACATAAAGCTTACACAAACAGGGTAGTAGATGCAGCAATATTACTTTCACAATAGCAAATCATAGCAAATAAACATAGGTAGAGAGAATAATGTGCTTAATGTGGAAAAAGTCAATACTTCTGAGACAAGTGGAGAGTATTCCAACTGCTCATCCACGTTGTCACAGTGGCTGTTATTGCAAAGTGGAAGAATAAAAGAACTACAGCAACTTGTTCCTAAATTCTAACGCGCAGCTGACTCAGTAATTACCGTGTTATAAACCTCCTTTGGCATTTAACATCAGCACAAACACTGTTCTCAGGGAGCTTCGTGTCATGGGTTTCCAAGGTCAAGAGCTGAATGCAAGCACAATGTCAGGTATTGGATGGATCAGTGCAAAGCATGCCAATGCTTATAGGAGCAGTGGAAGTAAAAGTCAAGCTCACTTTCTGTGAAGTGATGAATCACGTTTCCCTGTCTGGAGTCTGATGGACAAGTTTGAGTCTGGCCAGTGCCAGGAGAACCCGAGTTGTGTGCCAGCTGTGAAGTTTGGTGGAGTAGGGATAACAGGAAAGAAGAGTGTGAGTCAGGCCCTCTCGTCTAACATCAGTATCTGGCCTCAAAAACGTTCTTATGTATGATTGGACAAAAGTAGCATGACTGTTTGATACTTATTAGTCAAGCTTGTTTTCTAAGAAATTACAAATGTTTTTGTGTCAATCCAAATGTCAGGCGAACCATAAATACTGTCACAAATCAGAAAGTTAAGTTAGCGTCACATGGATAGAAGTATCTGGAATCTAGTGAGGTGATCTTATTACTGTGTTACAGAGCGCAGGACCAAGCATCAATGCAGCTCAGTGAAATGGAGGAAGAAATGGACCAACGCATTCAAGCTACCGAGAGAAAAACACGTGAGAAGGTGGGACCAACACATATGAGACCCTCCACTGCAGACCCGTGACTTTGTGTTTTTACACTGTTTGCTTTTTCCAGCTAGTTGCTATGATGCGTTTCTTTCCCTGGAGTTTGTGTAGGCAAAGTGATAAGCAGGGCGCGTTTGTTCAGCTCTTCCCTCATGTCAAACAAACATACGCAGCCGTGTAGCAGCTTACTGATCCCAATTCAGACACGCCTGCTGCTCTCACAACTCTGTGGATATAAAACAGCAGATAGCTCGAGGTGCTGGGGCATGTTTTATCCTCTATTCTAAAATGATAAGGCTGTATGTGTTGGTGGTGATAAGGATGGTGGTGTGTGGATAAAGATGATAATCTAAAAAGAGCCAGGTCAGCTACATCAACATGTGGCTGACCTGAACTTTGAATTGTTTAACCTGCTTTTTATTGACTGATGAAGTTAAATCTCTATGAATTCTGTCTGTTTGTCAAACGTATCCACATCCACAGCTAGAGTAGGCAAATTTGTTACTACAGCAGCTTTTTAATGCCTAAATTTAGGTCTGTTTATGTCTTTATATATATCGTCTATGAATTAAAAGCCCACGGATTTGGAGCCTCATGGAAGCTGCAGATATTTCCCAAAATCCAGCAGAACACATAACCAGTGTTTTGTGGAAAATGATAAGCTTTGATAACAGCATTTAGCTTTCCATAACATGAAATAAAATGCAATAAAAGGAAGAAAAGCTGACAAAGACTGGCAGAAACATAAAGCATCACTTGTTATATCAGGAAACAAACCATTGAATTTATTTAAACACGCTGATTTTATCTGTGGTTCTGACGTTTCTTTAAAAGTTGTGAATATAAACTCTGTTTTATCACTGTGCCTAAAGTTATGTAAGTGTTCTCCATTGACTCAGCTAACTCGGGCTCTACTGTTTGTTTTGTCTAAGAAAAGCACACAAAATTAGAGGGCGGTCACCTGTATCCTCTCACACCATGATATACACACTGTCATATCCTGGCACCTGTAACGGAGGAATTTATTTTGGAAATTGTACATTAAAAAAAGTTTTTGATTCCTCAGACCCTTCATCAAATGGTTTAAAATCCACCTTAAAATCGCTTTATGCAGAGTAAGAAGCAAAAACCAATCACACACATGCACAAACACACAAATCATACAGGAAACTGCCTTTCTGATGCAACTGATTGATATATTTTCTGTTTGGGGGGGTTGTATTTGTGCTTTTGCAGGAGAAGAAGCGAGCAGAGGCTTCGCTGAGTGAATTACGAAGAAGTTATGAAACTGAAGTGTGTGAGCTGCAGTGTAAGATCCAGAGGATGCAGATGGTACATTTTTCACTTGTCTGGCTGAGTTTTGGTTTTTTACAACATAATTGCTGTAGTGGTGGTTTTAAACATATTTATATGATACTGACACAATAAGGATTTTACACTCAAAACAAATTTAGATCCAAAATGCTGACTTTAACTCATTTTAATTATATTAGGACATTATTAGTAAATATATTAGTACAATGTAAAATGTTAACTTTAATGGAATTGGGTTTAAATTTGATTGGTATACTGTTCAATTTATACCACATTTTTCTTAATAATTAATTAATTGAGTAAATAAACCTTTGATTTTATATATCTCATGTTTATTGAGGATGAAGAACAATTTTCTGGGTCCATTTCAGAACTTAACATCTTTGAAAGCAGGAAGCAGCTTCACAGAGTCCATTAAATCTCAGCTGGACCTCTTTAACTGAAACTTCACAGTAAATATTTGGATGAGAAAAATCTACTATTGCTTCTCAATCTGACTGAGGTCCTTCTTACTGAAGATTTCAAGTCAGCTGTTTACAAGGGAAGTGATTTCATACAATCTTGAAGAGCAGATCAAGCATGCAGAGAAGTTATTGTGTTGGGTTGGTCTTAATGAAGACATCTGTGTATGTGTCCAAGCATTTGCATCAGGTCTGAGAACATGCACGGAAAAAAGCATCCTGAAAGTCATCAGGTTAAAATGTTTAAATAGTACAAATTTAGCCGTTTTATGAAACTTTTTTTCCCCACTCCTCTGAAACTGATTTGTAAGAGCTGTTTATTTTATTTTATTTTATTTTAACCAATTAGAATCGACATTTCTGGATGCATGTAAAAGTAAAAGTAGCCCACAAGAGTGAGAAGGTCGAATAATCTTTATCCTATACATTTCAACTTTACCAGATAGAGGAGAAGTACAAGAACATCACAGTGAAAGACGAGAGCCCGGCCTTGAAGAAGAAGATCAATGAGCTAACACTGGTGAGAGTGAATGTATTTGAACTCATTTATACAGTCATTATGCTTCCTGCTTACAACACACAGCTGTAATCTTCTGTTTTGCTGCTTGTCTGTGCATCTGCAGGAGAACCAGCGGTTAAAGCAGGAGCTGCTGAGGTCTCAGACCAAAGTCGCCTGCCTGCAGAGTGAGATGGACTCGCTGAAGACCGAGCTAACCGATCAAAGCATCAACTCTGAGCGGTAAATCGGTTTGGCTGCTTTTGTTAAATAATTTAAACCCTCACTACAGATTTTGACGTGTGGTCCGTGGAGTTAAAGTTGAGCACCAGATCTAATTAGCCACATGTTATTTATTCTTTTTACTTTTTTTACATCAATGATTAAAAAAGAAACAAAAAAAGAAAAAAAGATTTTTACTTCACATCATTTAGCTCTCTCTAAACACATACAGTTTCACTGCACACTATGAAAGTCTAAACCTCCACTATTGATGAAAAGAAGTTGCAGAACAGGTTTGTATTTCCACCTTTTTCTTTCCTTGTTTAAAGATTAATGAGAACTTGAGAAAAATAAATATTTACACTTGTAAAACCACTGAATACACTTCATACAAGCTAAATGTACTGACTCTAGAAGAATCCACTATACCTTATAACACGACCCCAACCCTGAGCCGTGTAACAGAGACAGACGACGGAGGCATAACCTCTCTTGGTTGTCTGTCTGCATGTTGGCTCCTGGGAATTTTATTGTGTTGTCACAGCTGAAACAGGATATCCTGGAGTGCCTTCACACGTACAATAACATCTTTGGGAGCGTTACCTAGTAACAGACGCAACAGAGACAAAGGGAGGAGAAAACCCTGCCTGCTTCTGACTCATTAGGTTGACACTTTTGTTCCTCCATCTCTGAGGAGTCTCGCGTGTCTTTCAGTAACTTTGCAAAATTGTGACAGACGTGGAAAAAAGAAGAAGACTGTATAAAAATATCAGCCATTATTTAATGGGGAAACTATGATGATTTTATTGAAAATATGTAATAGATTCAAGATTGATGTTTTTACCTACTATGTTTTTACATATTACAATAAGAGAAAACTTCCCAATAAACCATTTAGCAGGGGAAAAAGCAGAACAGAGGAGGGATCCCTCTTCCAGATGTTTATATTTTACATTACCTGCCTTCAGACAGCAGACTGTAAATAAAAGAAAACCATAGTGCTAAAGCCAGTTTTCTGTGTCAGGCTGTATGCAATTTTTGTTTACTATTGGAATCACCTCACTTCTGAAGCAGCCTCCAGTGGCCACTAGAGATACTGCAGGTTTTGGTACCCATGTTGGTTATATTTTGCAGTAGCTGCTGTTTGACTGAAGATCCTAAATTTATTTTAAAGTGTTGCATCTTTAATTTACTTTGGTTGCTTCCCCTTCTGGTTTAACAATATAAGAATTAGTCAAAATTGTAGAATTTATCATTTGAAAGTGTCATGTAATTAATATCCTTAGTATCCTTATTTTCTCATTATATTGTTTTATGTACTTTAATCATGAAGGTTTGTAAAGCAAGGCCACTTTTGACTCATAAACTAAGTGCTCAGCCAGACTGAAAAACAGGAAGTTTAAGTGCACAGGCATATTAATAGATAAGACACAGAAAAGAGGAACTTTGCCATATAAGCAATGTTTGAAACTGTGTGACGTGTAAAGTACCAAAATAACACCTATATGAGGCACAGTTTATGATTCTAATGTTAGAGATCCTGCAACTGGCCTTTGGGCTGTGCAGGGGTCTCCCTCTTTCGAAAGATGATTGAATAAGAAGAAATATAAATGTTTTAACACACTATGAGTCGGTTTTCTCTGTTCTATCATGGGGACAAAAGAATCGGGGTTAATAAAAGTAATCCGTACATTTAAGGAGTTTGTGTTGTTTAAGCTTTGTGCAGAAACTGAGGCCCTAAACAGTGATGAACATACAAAAATATGTAACACTTTAGATATGTTTTTTTTAAAATTGATAGATAAGTATATGCTTGTGTTCAGATTTAGTAACAATTAGCTCCACAATGTAGTGGTTTACACATTCACCTTAAAAGAAGGAGGAAGGGTATCTGGTGTAAAGCTTTTCTTTAGATTTACTAACTGTGTTTCTGTCTGTTTTCCTGCAGAGACGAGGAGCTCATGAAACACTTCTCTGATGAACGAGACATCCTGGAGAATCAGATTGATATTCTACAGTAAGCCAGATAATAACACACACACACACACACAAACACACACACACACACACACACACACACACAAACACACACATCTGCTGAAACTGATTTTACAAGGTTGCCTACATTTAAAATGTCTTTTCTCTCTCCCACTGTGTGTGTGTGTGTGTGTGTGTGTGTGTGTGCAGGACAGCCAACAGGAAGCTCCATGACAGCAATGACGGCCTGAGAGCAGCTCTGGAGAGGATAACGAGGGTAAAGCTGAACACTTAATAAAGTTACTTCATTCACAAAATAAATAAAGACATTTTAAATGTCTTCACTTAGCACATTTTAGTATCTTAGTTTGATTTGATCCACTCATTTGATTGGACTGCAGCCTATTTTTAAAAAGTAATTAGTCTTTAAATAAATTTATTCTAAAAGCTCATATGTGCAAAATGTTATTTCATTAATTTAAGTTATCAGTAATTTGAAAAAAAATAATAATAATAATTTTCTGGGAATTATTTCATCATTTAGGCTCTAAGGGGTCATTAAAAACTGTGCACTGCCTTACAACATAACATCATTCACATCTAACATTATAACAATACATTTTATAGTTTATTTTTGTTTCTTGTGTGTAGCAGTCTAACGGAGGATCACCAGGAGAATTTAAGGAAAGAAGCAGAAGTAAAAGCATCTGCTACACATCACCATATGCATTATTAGACAGGTACGGTCTACAAACAACACAGATGACAAAGAAGAGCATCTGTGCATTAAATTCTCTGCACTGGCACACTAGAGCTGGTCTTACACCAAAAATTCCATTTTTGGTGTATATATATATATATATATATATATATATTTGGAACTGGCAAGGTTTCTTTTCCCATGTGACTTTTTATTTGTCTAGTAGATTTTGCTGCAAGTTATTTATTTAACCTGCTGTGAGAAGCTGAACCATGAGATTCTGCAGTTATCCGCCATAAAGGTTTTGTTTTTGTACCATAAAGCAGCAAATTCAGGCCCAGTTTTGCACTAATAAGAACTTTTTGCATCTTAAAAAGAGACAATAAAAGTCTTTTCTTTTGACCAGTGAATACAATGTATGTGAAGATTAGTTTTACCTCTCTGAAACATTAATTAAAAAAAGATTCAGGTATGTAATTATTACAGTTTTAGCTTGTGGTGATGCCTTTTGGCACTTTTACAGGCATTTAGGCAGAAGCAATATGAAAACAACATATTTATGGGAGTGTGCACACAAGATCATGTACTTTATACAAAAACTACCCATGCACATAACATTTTAAAATATTGTTTACAGGTTTAATATATAACTTAAAAATTGATCTATCATATGTTTTTAGTACTTTACTTTATTAATATTCATTAAAAACCATGTAGACTGTGTAAATGTTATTACAAAAGAGCGTATTAACCCAAAATAAGTCCAGGACATTAAAAAAAAACAACCTCCCATCTAGCTACAGGAAAACCAACAAAACTACTTCATGTGTGAAATGACCTACTACCTGAATTTGTGTTTTTTATTGCCTTTCTCCTCCTCAGGTACCGCATGGACGAGTATCCTCTGTTCAGCCGCCGGCCCAGCGGTGACACCCTTGCCTTGGCCATGTGTGACCCTGGCCTGAGGCGCAGGCACAGCAGCGAGTGTGAGGAGGACAGCCTGCCTGAGATCTACGTGGACAGTGGCCTGTCGACGCTCAGAGGCTCACATGGAGGCTATGACTCAGAGCATGAGGTCAAGGGTCAAGAAGAAGAAGACGAGAATCACAGTCCGGAGAAGAAAAAGGAGGACGACGATAACAACGACAGTGTAATCGGAGAACTCTCTGACACTGAGGTAAGACCATAATCATGTCCAGCTTATAGCTACATATTTGACACCACAGATGTAATAACTTGAAGAAGAAAGGAAGTGGGCTTATTCAAGTCTGTGGAGACGTTTCACCTCCAATCTAAGAGGTTTCTTCAGGTATAAAAGCAAAAGATGGAGAGTCCCAGGTATTTAACCCTTAGTGGGGGTGGTCCCCTTTGGAGGTGGTTCTTGGTCTGCTATTGATCACGTGTGTCATCACATGAGCCATGCTGTGAAAAAAGGCGTTACCATCACCGGGGGTTAAGGGTGAAGCCACTGTAAGACCTCGCCCCACCCTATCATGTGACCTATTGAGGTCACCTACAGCAACAGTGGAAAGACTCGAATGGGCGTTGAAGTGCCTGGAAACCTTTGCCAACCTTTGTTGCACACACAGTGTTCATGGTGATGGCCTCTTTTGCTCCTCCTTTAAACCATCTGTCTTCCCTCCAAAGAGCTTCCTTTTACCTTTTAGTGTAGATCTACACCTGAGTCTGTTCCTGTTGAGGTGCCTCTTCAATGTTGTGTCATGCATTTGTGGAGTGGCTGTTTGGTTTCTCCTGCGTAGATCTCCAAGTACTCCTGCACTTTGATGTTTAGCTTGTGTTTGGGAGTTTTGATCTTGGGATGGACCAGTTTTTGCACCGTCATGCTTGAATAAGTTTCTCTGACTAACCTGTTTGAAAAGGGATGACCAAGTTGTTCCATAGTGCTGTTACCTATGATACCTATGCATACACCATTTTAATTCCCTCTTTTTCAAGCTCTTGAGACCACCATGACCTGGATGACTGAGAACCTACATAAACGATAATAATTAATGATTAAATAAAAACTGGTGTTTAAACACATAGAGAGTGGAAATAGATAACTCCAGGGGGAAAAAGTGTATTCTTGCCTTGAATGCTTAACTATCTGAGACTTTGTGTCTACATCACAGCCAGCAGAGACACAGGATGGGGAATCAGCATTCGGATCAGACAGCAGCTCAGTTTTGGACTGGAAGCCGTCTGAACCACCAGCTCCAACAACGAGAAAGGCCCTCAGTGCCATCAATGTTCAGGTGCGAGAGAAAATTATGAGAGGAGTCATAAAAGAGGGTTCTTTTATTTTGTAAGAAAGGTCAGAAAAACAGGATTATTGGGGTTATTGTTGAAATTTAAGTTACAGTCAGATTTCTGGAAAAGTTTTTGTAATTATTTAGAGACCTTACCAGACTTTGTGACCCTTCGTCTCTTCCTAACATTTTGACATTGTAGAAAGAAAAATGTATGAGGAAGGTACATTTCTGTAGTAGCTATGGCTATGGACTGATTATGTGTAAGTCATCGCTAGTAAGAGTTGAGGAAACTATTTGCTGATGATAAAGTGAATTCAACTTTATCATCTGGAGAACACCATCTCCCTGTCACCGCTACAGAAGGAGGACAAGGACAGCACTGACCTGGGCTACATGACGTCTGAGAAGGCTTACAGGATCGTGTTAGCTGGGGACGCTGCTGTGGGGAAATCCAGCTTCCTGCTTCGCCTCTGCAAGAATGAATTCAAAATGAACTCTAGTGCAACTCTGGGTGAGCTGGACACAAACTAAAAGCAAGCATTTTAATGTCATGTCCTCTTCTCTACAAGAAGTTTTGTAAATAAAAGCTTGGAGGAAGTTTCAGCTGACTTGTTAATGCTTAATTTTTGTACACTGTGAAGTAAGATGATTAAAATAGTAATAGTAATGTAGTTATTCTGATCAGCTATTAAACACTTTCACTTGCTTCCTTCTTGACTGGATCTTCTTTGTGTTTTCAGGAGTGGATTTCCAGATGAAAACACTAATCGTGGACGGAGAGCCCGTGCTGCTTCAACTCTGGGATACGGCGGGGCAGGAGAGGTATGTGTTGGTGTGGATAGTACGTGTTGCTGTTTCTTGACAAATATATAAATAGCACTTCATTAGTGGAGTACATGAGGTTTGTAACTGTCTAGTTTGAGCCATCTCCTGTGCTATTTTCAGGTTTCGCAGTATTGCGAAGTCTTACTTCCGCCGGGCAGACGGTGTTTTGTTGCTGTACGACGTCACCTGCGAGAAGAGCTTCCTCAATATTAGAGAGTGGGTGGATATGATTGAGGTAAAGCAATACCCTCCACAGCTATACGGTTACCACCTGACACACTTTGAAATGAGCTGTCCAGGCATGAGAAACATGTATAATATAGTCATATGGTTAAGTGTGTCCACTGTGACGCTGGCAGCATTTGTGTTATCAAAAGATATTTAAAGGTCACACTGATTATTCTGCTTGTTTTTCTTCATTTACATGCAGCCAATATGTAAGTGTTGGATAAGCATGCATTCAATATGATCTGGTGTTCTGTGTGTGTGTGTTTTTTGTATATTCGGTCAGTGGTTTCCTCATATAATGCACTGTACAGAAGTTTGTGCTCAGTGTAAAACAAGTTCAGCACACCTTCCGTAACCTGTCACAAGAGATTTCAATATGATTATTATTATTGTTCATTGTTTTTCTTGGCAGGATGTGTCCCACGAGGACATTCCCATCATGCTTGTGGGTAATAAGTCTGATCTTAGACAAGGTGGAATTGGCTGCGTTCCTGCCAGCTACGGGGAGAAACTTGCCATGGTAATTACAAATAAAAAACCCTTTATTTTACCAGACATTTACATTGCAGTTACCTGTTACACCTCCAACTTAGAGAGAAATCATATAAACTGTAACCTGTAATTCGAGGAATGAATGGCAGTAAATAAAAATGTTAAAACATTAAATGTTTCCTGTCTCTGACCAACAGACATACAACACTCTGTTCTGTGAAACTAGCGCCAAAGATGGATCCAACATCCTGGAGGCCGTGCTGCACCTGGCCAGGTGAGATTCACACACCTGATTATTCCAAAACAAAACAAAACTGTGGGACTTCATGAATTAGACATTAAGAAGCTAACATTTTGTCATTAGTTGGGTGGAGGATGGATGTTGTATATACAGCTTATATCGTATCACTAACTAAGTATTGCCAGTGATGATCAGTAACACATTAAGAACAACAAGTTTAAACGTCCACCAAGGGATACGTCATTGTATGATAACAATAAATACTGTTTGACCTTTTGTTTTACAAGTGAAACACTTTCTTAATTGTTAATAATTTTCTGCATTCTGTCATTTAAAAGTAAAACTTTCTTTTTCTTTTTTCTTCCACATTCCCATTCTTTCACCTGTTTACCCGTCTTACCTGTGTTTTTTTCCACTCCACAGACAGGTAACAAAGTTCGCCAACTATGAAGAAATAAGCAGTCGTCAGTCGCTGCCGATTTTAGACGCTCCCAGAAATCAGCCAAAATTCTCCTGCTGCACCTGATCAAACTCGTCCACACTGGACTTAATGTGGACTGTGCACATGCGAAAAGACATTAAAAGCAGAGCAGGAACAAATTATCAATGTGAATAACCGCAGCTGGATTAAGAGGGTGAAGTAAAGAAGTGGAGAGACGGGACATTACAAACATTTATTTGCTAAATCTTTTAACCGCTGACTTTGTCGCTGGATCTTGGCTTAAACCTCTCGCCAAGTTTTTTTCATTATGCTATAACAAATTTGCCTTTTTCTGTTTGGTGTAATTTACACTGTTTGACTAATAAAGCAGGTGACACAGGAGAAGCGAAAGGTAGCTGTGAGAGTAAAGTAGACTTTTAATGTGAGGTTTAAATCTGAGGCCAGGTGAGTGAGCATGGTTGTGATATTTATGTTGTTAAATATTTGCACATGGCAGAAAATAGAAAGTTAGTTTGGTTTATGTTCCTGACAAGAAAGTACAGATCCTGATATACAGTGTTGCAAAAAAGTTTGTTTCCCCTTTCCTGATTTTTTTTTTTTTTTTGGCATATTCGTCACACTTCAGTTCTTATATGATGATTTCATTTATTAAGGGGGGTAAAGCTGTTTAAATCCACCTGATATGATGCATGAATGGCTTGTTTAAGGTCTCAATCTGATTTAAGTCCAGACTTTGATTTGTTTTTAATCATTCAGTGGTGGACTGGCTGGTGTATTTCGGTCATTGTCCTGCTGCATCACCCAAATACACTTGAGCTTCAGGGCAGGCTGTGTTAGTTGTATGCAGATGTGACAGGACTCAAACGCTCCAAATTGTTAAACTTTTGGTTAATTTGAGACAAGCTTTTGTGTACTCTGCCATCGATGTCAGTTTTGCTCAGTTTCTTTCTCTTTGTTGCATATGAACACTGACCTTAACTGAGACAAGTGAGGCCTGCAGTTCTTGCTCTGGGTTCTTTTGTGACCTCCTGGATGAGTCATCGATGTGCTTTTGGAGTAATTTTTGCAGGCTGGCCACTCCTGGGAAGGATCATCACTATTCCAAGTTTCCTCCATTCATGTATAATGGCTCTCACTGTGGTTCACTGGAGTCCCAAAGCCTTAGAAATGACTTCATAAGCCTTTCCAGACTGATCCATATCAATGACTTTGTCTCTCAGCCATTTCTTTTGATCATAGCACGATGTGTTGGGTTTTGAAATCTTTTAGTCTTCTCCACTTTGTCACACAGCTTCTGTGGTTAATCACAGAAACTCATAACTATGATTTAACAACGGGAGCCAATTACTTTTCCACACTGGACCAAGTAGATTTTGATAGCTTTTAACCATTAAGAAAAGATAAAAACATTTAAAAACCTCATTTTGTATTTAATCTGGTTATCTTTGTCTACTATTAAAATTTATTTGATGATCTGAAACATTTAAATGTGACAAATATGCCAAAAAACTAAGACATCTAAAACTAAGTGGGTTAATACTTTTTCATGGCACTGTAGCTTTGCTCACCACTGCAACAATCATGTAATTACATTTGCGCTCGGTTATTTTTCCTCTATGTACAGCTTGAAATGTTTGATGTTATTTATGTTTATGGTCATATCAGAATTTACCGCCATCACGTAGACACTAAGAATCACGGGAGAGCCTAAAGTGACAAAGGCTCGTTCTCTGTTCATCACTACAAACCCTGGTGCAATATCGCAACCTACCATGTTTATTATTATGATGCCACAGCAGTGTTACTTTTTCGTCTTTTCACTGAGGATAACTTTATGTTGTAGAATTTAGAGTATGGCTTTAACTGTATAAAGTTGTAATCCTGGTGATTTGTTCCAACTCCTTTTATGGATCTCTTTTATTAATATTAGAGAAAAAAACAGTTATATTATCTAACTGCTGAATAACTGTATCGGTGTCTGTAAGCTCGGAAATAAAATCACTGGTTGGAGCTGGAGAGACAGTTTTTCTTCTTCAGTTATTTCACTGGTACAAAAATATGTAAAAAAGTAAATGTTACACATGTGAAGAACAGTTTCATTGTTATCTCCTGTTGCAAATCATCCCTTGGAAAAAAGAAAAACATTAAAATGAGATTTAGAAGTTTTCAGCTCTAGTAGTAGTAGTTTGAATACTGAACTCAGTCCAAGACATGGTATTAAGTAGATAATCAATTAAAAAGACTACAACAACAGACACACAGTGAAGAAGTCCAGTTTCATGAGAGGAGGAGACCTAAAAGTTTCAGCTGTGCAGGTCTGTCATTCACATGGCCACACTGTTCGAACTATAATTGAGTTATCCAGTTTGAGGATAAAATAACTCCACTCAGAGTTACTGAACCATGAACGGGGAAACTCTCCATAGAGACCTGGCTTAAATGGGTTTTTTAATACTGTAAAGCTGCATATTTTAACATAAGAGTCCGTGGCACTTTATACTTTAACCTAAAGACCCTACAATGATCAAGGGAAACCCTTTGAGCGTGCATTTGGCGACAGTGAGAAGGAAAAACTCCCAACAGAAACCAACAATAACAGAGATAAACCAGACATGTCCACTGTGTAAGCAAAAAGTACAACATGAAACTCTACTAACTCTGAAGAGAAATACAACAAGTTACAAATAGGTAACAAAAAATTATCAAAACAAATTTAAGGTATTACTGCTACACTAAAAGTATCAGAACAATATCAGACAAAAGAGTCTGGTGATATTTGATTTGACTGTCCATCTGTCTGTCTCTTCCTCGCTGATACTCATGCAATCTGCAGCCCCATTAACAGCACAAAGGAGGAGACAAATCAATAAATCAGATATTTTCTCCTTGATTGCTGCTCAAAAAAAAAAAAGACCCTCCTGTTTAGCCATACTCCCCGAGCGTCTGGAAGTCTCTGTGAGCATGGCTGTTTGAATAACTGCAACATATGTCGAGGATTTCGCTCTGTGTGTGTGTTTAGAGCTGGCACGGGTCCCTGTCTCCACCTCCCATCTGTGTACATTGTCATGTGCTTGATGAGGCGAGACCATTCATTTGTCAAACAACATGCGGGGTGGCTGAGGTGGGGACGGGGTGTGTGGGGAGAAGCAGCTGAGAGCAGTGTGCGAGTGTGTGTGCGAGTGTGTGTGCGAGTGTGTGTGAGTGTTCACTGGTAGCAGGGGGATAATTAGATAAAGGAGAACGTGTAGCCGAAAGGTTAATGACAGTAATGAATATATTACCATAAAGGAGACGGAGCAGGTTCTCCTTTTCTCCTCTCCATCAGCAAGTTTAGAAAAGCGACAACAGCAGACTGAACCACGGCAAAAATCACTGATGAATTCAAGTTGATGGTTCACTAAGGAAGAACGATAAAACGGGAAAACTTCAGCGTCTCCTTAAAAAGTTTCAAAAGATAAATAATTCAAGATTAAACAGATTTTTAATCAATGGGACGCATTTTTGCTAGTTCAGGAACACTACACACTCTCTCTCACACACACACAACACACAACAACAACACACAGAAAATGTTCCTTGACCGTCCTCTGATCGAGGCAGGGACTGTCACCATCTGGAAAGGTCAAAGGTCATGCAATGGAACCAGTGGTCACTCTTATGACATCTGGGAAGGCAGACAGTCCGTACAAATCCACACCCATGTCAGATACGCACAAGTGCTTACACAGTCTAGTGCAGCCAGCGCGTTTGTGTGTATTTGTGTGTCAAGATACTGTGTTAGCGTTAAAATAAAGGCACATATGTGGAAAATCATTAACTGGAACTATTGGGTTTACTATTTTTATTGCATTAATTTTTTTTAATTATATGTTTCTCTCTGCACAATGATAACTGCATGTTTTTCTCTGTAAGTGCAGGCTGTCGGTCAACAACACTGTGCTGTACCAGATCTGCAGGCAAGAGGGCAGCAGCCTACTATGATACAAGCTTAGCTCATTGCATTGTATAATATGTTGTAATACACTGTAGAATTACAAGAATTTATATAGCCTATTATTTGGGTGAAAGATTTTTTTT